TTTTATATCTGTGATCTGTTCTATTGTTTTTAATTTTTGCTTTCTGTGAAGCACTTTGTGATGTTTGTGTCTGTGAAAGGTGCTATAGATATAAAGTTTTCTTACTTAAGTTTACATCTGTAGCTTCGGGGTCTATTTTCTCACCTTGGCACAGACAGATAGGGGATACTTCAAACTGGTTGCAACACAAACTTTAATATTCTTAAAAACAAAATAATATCAAACTATCAATTAAGTGGTTTTGTGAAAGAAACATACACATTGATCCTTCAACTAAAATTGAAATGTTTTACAGGTAATTAAAATTATATTTGTATTATTGTATTTTTCATGTTTTTTATCTGGATATTGCAACCTTCAGCTGCAAACTTTTTTAATGGCAAAGATTTTGCAGCCCTGTTGGGTAAGCTGTTTGAAAAACTGTTCAAGAGTCAAAAGATGCATCTTTTAAACTATTTGTCTAAAATGTAGCACAGTTCAAGGTTCTTGAAATGGAGTCTCATCATTTTGTACCATCTGTATATTTGCTGACTATGTGGTTCATTTAATAAAGGTTGGTCTGATCATTTATTGTCTAAAAAAGCATTTCTGTGTAACTTTACACTCGTAGGTAGTAWACATTTCTGCCTAATTAAAAAAAGATAAGTACATCAACAAAAACTAATAAGCATTACAATTACTTACAATTTGAATGTAATAGTATTGAAATGTATCCAGAAATGTTAGGTAGATTTGACCTAATTTATTTTGGTGTTTCAGAGCTGACAGTTATATTTATCCAAACAAACTGAAAATTGTTACCTCAGCATTTTTTTTGGCTGTCTAAATACATTGCCATGTGTATGCAAATAATTTATGTAATTTTAATTTTTGGTACAAAAACACTGTTATAATAGCTATATTTTACTGAGATATATTTGTGACTCAGTTCCCACTTGTTTAATATTTAGTAGCGTGTACATTTATGAAGAAATAGCAGATTGTTACATTTAGTGTAGAAAAAAAATTAACAGTTATAATCAAGAGTACCTATTATATAGTATAATCAACAGAAGCAGGATAAACAAAGGAAAAAGGAATTTAAACGTTTCCACATCGATTACATTGAAAGAAGTTAATTTGGTTTAGTTTGGTTAAGTTATTTAAAAAAATCTTCACTATCGCGTACGTGTCTCACGTTCCCGCGCGCATGTCATTCGGTCTCGCGCGCGGGTCCTACGTACTACGTCCTACGTCTTTACGTCAGGCTTATGGCCGCTTGGCGCTTCATAGCTTCTCTGCCCCCCGGGTGAGTTGCTAATACAGACTTTTTGCTTGGAGGATTGTGTGTGAGTGTGTGTGGGGGTTTGTTATAGTTCATTGTGAGGAYCAAATGTCTGTTTCTATGACTACATGTACAGGAGTTTACTCGGACACACATTGTTTTGCCGGKCTTTAGAGGCGAGTGACGTCACTTGCATATAATTAATAAAAACGTTCCAAAAACTGTGACGTCACGTTTTTGGAACGTTTTTATGCACTGACGTAGGTTCACTCTGCTAGTTCATTAGTTCATTTCGAGCCCAGGAGTGCACAGCTTAAGACAGTCTTAGAGTTTTGGCTCGTTGTAATTTTTTAAAACTTGGAATATCTACAAAAGAAAACACAATTTCTGCAGGAAACTGAAAWTGAACCTCAGGAAACTGAAAATGGACTGCAGGAAATACCCAAAAGCCTCCAAATGAATGACATGACTCTAAGGTCTTTTTCTTATTTGGTAGGATGGGACGTTTGGGTTAGATATTTATTAGATGCGTCGTTTTGGAAATCAGAGGACACCCAGTCCAGTTTGATGGTGGATTTCATGAAACTATTTGCCAATGTCAACGTGGCAAATCAGTGTGAAGTCATTTCTGATGAAACAGTTGCTGATTTCTTCAAAATCATGCTGAAATGTCTTTCCGATTTGTCAATTCAAACCCAAATKAATTGTTTTTTATCTGGGGTTACACAGRACATGTGGTATAGATATGCAGAGAATCTGTCTGCTATAAACCCAGAAAGCGTCCAGTTCAGTTTGATGAAAGACTTCTCTAGACTTCATGTCAAATTCGAGGTCGCAGAAAAATATAAAGTCATTTCTGAGAATATGTGTGCTCATTTATATGAACACATGCTGTTATTTCTTTCCAATATGCCAAATCTAAATAACATTACACTGAGTACATTTGACCATGTCAGACGACACAGATTCGACATTTCAGAGTCTGGACATAAATCAAAGAGGGAAATTTTACGAATAGCTAAAGGCGCAGCCGGCAAAGCCTCCAAGATGGTCAGAGAAGTTTGCAAACCTCATCTTAAAGTGTCTGGATGTAAATCACATATGTGCCAAATATGCAGAGCCAGGGAGGTCGGAGACGTTCGGAAACCTTTTCACACTGGTAGACCAAATTCTAAAAGACCATCACTGCACAAGAAGTGAAGCTTAAAATAATGTGGCACAAAGAATTGTTTAATGAATTTATTTTTATCACAAACGCTCAGTCAGTGCTGAAGCCACGTGCAAAGTCAGTCCTAAAGCCATATGCAAATTGGTTGATGACGTCACGGATCGATTTCAGGACAGCTAGTGGCAACAGCGCGCATGCGCAGAACGTCAAGTTGTGAGGCGGCGCCGTGCTTCTCTCGCCGTCGAACCGAACCGAACCGAACCGAACAGGGAG